ACCAGTTTCTGTCGTTTCAGACTGACGTTGTCTAAGTGTAGTTCTTGTAAGAACAACTCAGGCTCTCTGACATCTGAACAATGGAACGTGCATTTAGTTGTAGCCCTCATGCCGCCTCCACACTTATCGACAAGGTTTCTGTGACAGCTTTAAGAAAGGAAGAGCACATTGCATATGTAAAAAAGAGTGCTCTGTACTCATTATGGGCTTCATAATTAAACTGCCAACCCAAAACATTTCCATTATCCACTCTGTAACTGTGATATCTTTTGTGTGATAGAAATTTGCCAAGAGATTCGTTTAGGGTCATGGTCAAAGAGGTCATGGTTTATGCTAAGTATGATATTCTTCAAAGCTTTTTAAAGAGACACTGTAGAAGCTCTGCAGCAGAGGACCTGAATCATGGTTCATGGATGCCTGTAAGGACACTACCGCAGTGCGGTTGCCTGCCCTTCTCAAGAAGCATCAGTGTAATCCAATTAAGGAACTTTTTCAGATGAGTTGAGTGACTTTTGTAAATTTGACCACCTTTCCTGATCATCAAGCTGGAGTAAGCACTCTGACACATAGCCATGGTGCGTCTGCCCACTGCTGCGGCGAGCACAGCTAAGTGTGGCAACCTGAATTTGAACTGTTGTTCCCAGATCAGAAAAGCCCAGATTTTTCGAAGTGGCAGTGCCTGGCTTTGGATATTTGGGGTTTTTTTTGGAGGAAGAGGGGACAGATCTGACAATCTTCAAGAGCCGCAGCATAGTCTAACTGAAGCGTGATTTCAGTAGTGGTTGAATATTGAACCTATAGGCTTAGAAGGCTCCCGTAAAGGACAGAACTTTATCTTGTCCTTGTGATTTTGTGCTTTGATTCAACTAACTAATGATATATTATGACATGGAGGGTAATAAAAAATACTATACGGAAGCTTTTATTGTTTCATTTTGGTATGCGTTAGATTTTGGTACTGTCTTTTATTGGTGTTTCTAACTTCCACTTTCTGTGTAAGTTTAGATTAATAACCCGCGTATGAAAACTTGGGAAGTCTGCGGGCACAACGCGTGCGTGTTCAGCACCGGTTGCACTGCTGTAGCCCATTTCGCTGGTTAGGACACTTATCTCGATGGGCTTTACTACATCCCGTGTTATGTTTTCACATGCTGTTTGCTTGTGAAAAAAGAGACTCGGTAAACACGGAGGAGCTGTATTTTCTCCACCTCTCTGCTTGAAGACATGGCTGCTGTGAGGTGTGCTGGATCCAGCTGACATGGCTTAGGAAGCTCCCAAAGCAGTATTTTAGGTAAGTTTTAGTTCTCACATCCAGCTTTCCCAGGGCAAAACCAACTTGCAGCCCCTTACATCTCCATCAGGAGTGGGTAAATCCGACTGGTTTCCAGCCTGGATTCACTTGGTCCCTGCCTTTTCCTGCCATGTAGACACTTGATGTTTACCTGTGAGGCTGGGACATGGTTCAGGCTCTGACTGGGGACTCGCAAACCCCATGGTAGTCACAGTATTGCTAAATTACTTTACCATGCTCCTGTTTCTCCCGCTATCAGATGGATATAGTTGTTCCTTCCCAAGTTCTCTTCCAGACGGAGAGATTTTGTTGGAAGGGACCCAGTGAGTCCATGCAGAGGTTGTAGCCGTCCCCAGATTTCCTACTCAGTTCTTCCTTCATGGCTAAAGAGCCTGGTGAGCACCCAAGCCAACTGCCAGATTTCAGGTCAAATTATGCCTGCAGATTTGTCTTCCTTTTATATCCTATTTTCACACTCCCCTGCTTCTATAAATCAACAAAACTAGAGACGAAGACAGTAATTATTACCACTAGGAACCTTTTTTTTTTTTTTTTTTACTTATTTGTAATGCAGCACCAAAAGTCCTGCTGTGTTGGGCATGATACAGCAGCCCAACAAATGCCAGTCCCTCCCCAAACTCTCAAGATTCTGACGTTTCTTTTGTTTCAGGTTTTTTGGGGGTAGGATTCGATGTTTTGTATCTTCCTGTGCCTATGCATTACACTGCACAAAAAGGAAGGCAATAATTTTTGAGCTGCTCCTGCTGGGGAATTTTTTTGCCTGCTCTAAAATCGCAGGCTCAGAGGGATGCAGGCGTTCGGGTAGTCGGCGTGACATTGACCCTGAGGTAGAAAACAGCTCTGTCTCAAGCGCTGCCCTTATCTACTCTTCTGTTAGCTGGTTATCTGGAGTCTGCACCTTGCAACCTCAGGTGTATTGTCATCAATCATTTGCTATTTTCTTTTGCGTACTGGTTCCTCTCTGCCCTTCCTTTGTTAATAACCCAGTTTGCCTATATCCATAAAAATATCTGATTGTGATACCATTTATCCAAAGCACCATACATCCATCATGTACTTATGAGCAAGATAAACAAGGTCTCCTGGGAAATATGCCGCAAGAAATATATAGGATAAATAACTATATCAAATGTATGTCAGTGTGCAAGAGGGGAAAATCCATTCATTAAAGGCAGGGTAGAACTGCAGTGTTTTATTGTACCCTCTAAGCTTTAAGTTTCAGTAAGAAATGTGCATTTTTGCTGCTTATCTCATCTAGCTCAACTCTCACACTGGCCACTTCAGCGTGAGATGTATTAGCTTCTTTGACTGGCATTGTAAATGTGTAATTGCTCATAATCTGTTGTGGTTTGTTTGGGTTTTTTTTTCCCCCCAGATCTTGCAGGCAGCTTCTTCCTTTCTTTTGACTTCATCTTTGCTGCTCCTGAGTTTCAGCCGTGTGGATGTCTGAGTCCTGGATGTGGAGTGGGAGGAGAGGGGCTGCTGCCGAGCTGCCTTTGGCATTTGAGGGGAACCCTTGGCTTTGTATTTCATTGCCCTGGGTTGCGAGGTGAGCGATGAACTCTGCCCCATGCGTATCCTCGCTTTCATCTCTCTACTCCAACACCGTGGTGTTCAAAGTGGAGAATGAACGACTGCAGGCAAATCCCAGCTTTTTGCTCTTATTTATATGTGCTTCCTGGTGGTATTTCATATGCGGTTTCTTTATTCACTGGGATTTTTTTTTTTTTTTTTTTTTTAAGTGGTTCTGCTTCCTGTGTTGTATCCTGATGGAACTGGCTCTAAAAGATGAGGATGCAGGTTGCCTTCCTGCAGCCCCCGTCCCTCCCCAGCCTCCAAGGCATCCGATCCTTCTGTTCATTAAAAAGGCTTTCTAACTAAGATGACTTTATACTCACTTACTTTCAGGCATTTTCCCGAGTCCTAAGCAGTCAGTGTAAAGGTAAGAATTGCTGATGAGCCAAACAAGTCCTTGGTGTAAGAGCGCTGTCTCATGTTTCTACATAACCTGCCAGCCCAGCGCCAAACTACATTGATAAAATCAGTGATGGGAAAACCTCCTTTGATCCTACATTTCCCATTCCCCTGGGATGTCTAAATTATGTGAGTGCTTCATGCTGCTGCATTTTCCCAACGCAGAAGACATCAGCTTCAAGCCCATGGGAGAAAATTAATCTCTGGGTGAATATCACTTTTACCTGGAAAAGCAGAGTTGGTAAAAAGGCCACGGCTTTACCACTCATCGTAGGGATTTTTCACAGAACAATTACATCTCAGAGTTCGAGACAACATGGCTTGTTGTTTTCGTATACGAAACCAGCCTATAGTTTCATTTTCAAGTGAAAGAGAAGTGGTGAAGAAATTGTCCTTCGACAAACGTGCACACAAAAGAAAACGTGGGGCCAGATCTTCAGGTAGCATAAATCAGCTGCGGCGAAGGAGCGACACTGATTTACATCAGCTAAGTGTCAGGCTCTAAATCACCACTGACACACTGTTGAAAAACAAGCATTTCCAAGATTCAGAGCTATAGCTGAGCAATTTCTTTCGCTAAACCATGATTCCTTTCTACTCCCTGTTTCCATTCAAATGTATATAGAAGTGCTCCTTTGTGCTTTGAGGTTTTGTTGCTCTTGTTGCTTTTCATAATGCCCGATTCCTTCTGAGGGCTTTTTTTTTTTTTTGTTTTCCCTTCTTCTTCCCTGGTAATGAAAAGCACAGTAAAATGAAGTGCCATTCGCTTTCCGTCCACCCCAGGTTTTTGCGGCAGTTCATTAAGAAGAGGGAGCTGCGGGCTCTCGCTGTGGTCTCTGGACGCAGTTCAATACTGCGTGTATTCTTGTGCAGAGATTTACGTCTCACATTCAAAAAAGCTCCTTAAATCAAGCAGCCCGTTAGCATCTTCTCTGGCTCCGGGTGTCTGGGAGATAAAACGCCTGCGTGCTAATAGTCAGTTCATCACTGATCTCAAAGAGCAGCCACCTTCGCTTGTGTATGAACACCCTCTGCAGAATGGTTGTGTTCGAGCATATCTGTTCATTATTTTATTTATTTATTTAAGATTTTTCATCAGCGTGGGTTCATGTTTCGCAACGATGCTTCGTAGTCTTTAGGCTTAATCCTGCTCCCATACAGAGCAGCATATGGCTTTGCTGCAAATGCAGCCCTGGCCAATATGCTGGACTTAAAAATCTGACAGCGCCAACTTATAAAAGTTTCATGCTACATATGTCAATACCAACTGCATAAAAATGCAACGATCATGAGCTTTTAATGTGTTTTCCAAAGGCAAATGCAAAAATTTCTGTGAGTCAAGCTTACTTGTCTAAACACTTTTAGTAAATTTATTTCATGACACATTACAGCCCCGCGGTCACCCTACAGCCAAACCACCCCTGTGGATTCTTCACCATCTCCTGTATTGCAGCCGTGCTGCTGTGAACTGGTGGGGCTCCCATCACGTCTTGTGGTGTGAGGGAGCAGCCAGGGATGGGTTCAGTCAGCCTGGTCTGGTTTTATACGGCAAATCCAGCATGTCTCCGTACGTATAGAAATTAAATACTTGACAATTATTTCTCCCCAGTGTAATTCCACTGGAGGATTATGCCCGGAGTATTTATATCCCAGCACGGACTCCAAACCGCTCTCGACCACAGACCTGTGGGCAGTGATGCTGTACCGTGGGTTTTCAGCAGGCTTTGCTCTGCAGGTCCCTCCCGGCACAGGGCTCCCCGCCGTCCTGCGGGGATGGGTTGTTGCACTGCCGGCTGCGCCGCGCCGTGTCCGACTGGCAGGGACCCCACTGGGACCAGCAGCTCCAGCGCCCATTCGTCGCCCCGCCTGGAAATGCATTAAAATAGGGGGGGAAAAAAAATAATATTCAGGTTGGAAGTGCTACATGTGGCCTGACTGCAGCAGCATACTTTGGAGCACTCCCTGGTCCATCCAGCCATGCCCAGCACACAGCTCTTGAGATCAAGGTGCTTTGAAGCCAGGGGAGATGGAGCAGCATCACCTTCTTCAGCCAACAATACCTGTTTCATTTTTCTCCTCTCCTCATTTGAAAGGCTGCGGTTTGGCTTTCCTTTCCCAAAGGGCAGCTGACATCTCTCTCTGCACTAACTTTCCCACCTCTAACCAAGCCAGAGGGACAAAACTCTCCTAACATCGTGGGGCGTTTTGAAAAGTCTGCCCATCCCTTTGGAGGTGGGTCATTTCAAGGCTTTTTCATTACAGTACAGACTGAGTTGTCAGGAGCGTTCGATACTATGGATTATGGCGGCGCTCCTGAATGATGGGAATGCTTGATGGCTGTCATTTACTGTCGTTTTTTATTTACTCAGCTGGCCTTCATGCCTGGCTTGGGCACTTTATTAATCCAGACAGCACAAATGGACGTGTGTGCTCTTACTCAGTGCTGGCTGAAAAGCTGGGTACCCTGTCTGCTGGAACATTGCTCTTTAAAAAACTGGGTTTGGTCTTAAGTGAGTTTTGAAACTAAAAATTGGCTTCATTTCCCTTGAGCTGGAAGAACATGTGTCCCTCCCTGGCTGTTGCTAAAGGCAGGGAGCACAGGGGCCGGCCAGTTTAGTGGGCTGCTTTGGGGCCAGATCCTGAGCTTGCCATGCTCCTCATCTAAGATAGATTTCTTGGATTTGAAGACAGCTCAAAGAACCTGAGATTTTTTTTAAAGAAGCCTACTTTTGAGTCACTGAAGCAATGCTTTTGAGCTCAGCTTCATAAACCCAACTCTGTTCTAACTCCTTATCTCATCACAGCTTTGATTTTCCAGTGGTGAGACCCTAGTTATGAGCACTCGGTTGAAGGCCTGGAGCTCTGCCTGATGGAACTGCTCTGAAGATGGATTTTTCTGCCCGCTTCATTTACAGCAACGAAGCTGGTGAGGGGTCTGGAGCACAAGTCTTATGAGGAGAGGCTGAGGGAACTGGGCTTGTTTAGCCTGGAGAAAAGGAGGCTGAGGGGAGACCTTATCGCTCTCTACAACTACCTGAAAGGACGTTGTAGTGAGGTGGGGGTAGATCTCTTCTCCCAAGTAACAAGTGACAGGACAAGAGGAAACCGCCTCAAGTTGCACCAGGGGAGGTTTCGAGTGGATATCAGCAAAAAATTTCTTCGCTGAAAAGGTTATCAAGCAGTGGAACAGGCTGCCTGGGGAAGTGGTGGAGTTGCCATCCCTGGACGTATTAAAAAGACAGGTAGATGTGGTGCTGAGGGATATGGTTTAGTGGTGGTTTTGGCAGTGTTAGGTTGATGATTGGACTCGATCTTAAAGGTCCCTTCCAACCTAGATGATTCTGTGATTCTGTGGTTCTCTGTGCTGAGATTTAGATTCTTTTTTGTCATCACGAATCAAGACTAGGATATCCAGACAGAACTGTGACTTTTTTTTTTTTTTTTTGGAATCTGAGAGCATGTTCCAAGGTTGGCTTTTTTGCCACCCATTTAATTTTTTAGGCTAGTATAATGAGTAATAAAGAAAACATAAGTAAAAGCCTGACACTTTGGAAAAACACTTTTTTTTCTCCCCAAAGAGAGATACCTACGTGTAGTTAAAATGTTTCTCTATGGTGGGCAGGGGGAAATCTGGCAACATGGCAATTTTTTACTAAAACAGCATTTTTTGGTGGCACGTTTCTTGAGCACCGCCTCCCAGTGGTGCTTAGCCTGACCCTTTCAGCCTCCCTTCCCTCCCTGCCTGTTGAGGTTTGTGTTCTCGCCCTCATAGCAGGCGTCCATAGGGGGATGCCACAAGCACTCTGGAGAATCGCCATCCCGAGGATGTCACATGCCGGTCAGTGGGGACCAGATGACGGTCTCGTTTACGGTAACGAGCTGCATCCACAGAGCACCACGGGCAGGCAGAGTCCACCCCTCAGCTGGCAATATGGGCAGCCGGGCTTTGCCTGCGTGCTGCTGCTGCTGCACCCCAGCTCAGCTTTCTGCAACGTGTCAGTACATCTCCAGCTATTAAACACATCCCCGTTTCCACTAATTTATTTATAATAATCACTTGAGCTGTTAATTTAATTGTCTTGCAGGGCTGCTTAGGATAGCGTAGCAGCAAAAGCGATATAGAAGCAAAGTCTTGATTGATGGATGGATGTAAAGAGCTGGTGGTTAACGATGTGGAACGGAAAACCCTGTCTTTTTGCTGCTTTTCGCCCTACCGTGCTATGGGTGCGCGCCGGGGTCTTACCTTGGCGCTTGGTCTGCTCGCAGGCAGGGCCTCCATAACCTGGTCGACACTGGCAGAAACACGTGTCTCCCACCAAAACGGGTTCACCGTTGTTCTGGCACGGTCCACAGCGGCAGGCATTGAATTCCAACAAGTAATCGTCCAAAGCCCGTTTCAGGTTTTGCCGTTTGGTTTCCATGTCGCCAAGGTTGCTTCTGCGGAGAATTTCGTGGATGGGCTGCAGCTGCGTAGGGTGGAGATGAATAGCACGGAGACAGTTTCAGCTGGGCATCAACTGAGATGCTACCACGCCGCAGTCAGAGAGCTGTGACATTGCTGGATAAACTCAGGGCTCAGAAAAAAACTCATTTGTCTTTCTTGACAGCTCCATGTACATCATGCAAATGCGTTACCACGACTGATGGGCTCGAGTGAGAAACCACCGTTCCAAAACCCTCCCCATCTTAGAGGTCTGTGTGGGATTGGCTTTTCTGGACACGCTTTGGAGATTAAGTCTGGATTCAAACGATAAATTAAAGCACCCCAGTAAGCCCGTTTTTTGACTGATTTCTTAGTGCTGTCACAACGTCAGAGATTCTTGCATGCTTTTTGCCTTTTTGAACCAAAATGTTTTGTTAAGAGCTTTGGACAGTGGGTTTCATTAAAACTTAATGCCAACCTACAACTAATGGTGACCAGATTGTGAACCACCCAGTAAATGCTGAGCATGAAGAATTTTACCTGCCTGCTTTTTGCCCTTTGATGCAGCAAAATAATATTGTGCCATTTTCAGCTTTAAGAATATAAATTGCTCATATTTCCGGTAGCAAAATCCAGTTCTTATATATACCATTCAGCAAAAAATAGTCCCGTGTGGGCAACTATAATTATAACTTGCCCAACTGAATATTAATATTCAACTGAATATTAAAGCTAAAAGCTCGGGGCTGGTCTGAGGACACATATTTACATTTGTCCGTCCATGCATCTGTGGGAACGCTGCGTGTCCTGGCCTGGCAATGGGTGGAAAGAGGTCCCAGAGAAGAGCTGTGCATCGTCTCATTGCACAAGGCGCAGTGAGAGTGATTCGTGGGGAGGATCAGCTGGGCTTTGGGAAGAGCTGGTAGACAAATTTGCACAAGCCTGTTTAACAAACGAGCGGGAGCTGCCGATAAGAGCTGCCGAAGTGGACATGAGCACTTACTCGCAGCTCCAGTTGCACGGTGAGTGCTGAGCTCTGGAGCAGCCAGCAGAGAGGTCAGCACATGGTTTACTGGAAAATTGCAATAAATTTTGCCCAGAATTGATGGGAACTTGTACATAAAGGTGAATAACCTGCAGCACGCATTCGGCTGGAACTGAAAGTGCTTCTACTTTATCAGGGCTTTCCGCCACCAGGGTGCTGCCCAGGAAGGTTTTCAGATTCCCACTTGCCCTGCCAGTAATGCAGATGGTTCCTGATTCCACCTTCCCTTCTCCCACCCTCTGACAGAGCCAGGAGTGGGCGTGCTTGCAGATGAAGACGAAAGGGATGGAAGTGGTAGTGTGTCCCTGCCGTGACCGAGGTCCTTTCCCCATCACCTCACAGCTGTGCTCCCGGAGCAGACCAGCGATCGTAGCATCTCAGGGTAGAGGTGGTACTCCTGACCACAGCTGAGGGGTGCACCTGCCCCCTCATACCCCTGTGGTCTCTGACCTTGGATTCTCTCTTCCTTTCCATCCCTTCTGCTTGCACCCATCTCCTCCCCGTCTCTGAAGCCCTGTAGGATGCTCCAGGGGTCTTTCCGTTGTATGAGGCATCCAATAAAATGAAGGGAGGAGGAGAACTTGGCTGTTTTTTATGTTCACAGACCTGCTTTGTGGAGCATGGAGAGAGACAGGACCCACCTGACAAAGCAACCAGGAGCCCCCTGCTCAAAAAACTCCTGGAAGCACCCATAGCAACGCCCACCAAGGTCTGCAGAGGTTCGGCATAGCCACTGTGGCTCTGAGGCAGGTGAAAAGCAGGGGGGGTCTATGCATAGCCTTTGCTGGGGGGGGGGCAAGACTCCTTCCCCAGCCCCCTGCGAGTCTCCTGCTTATAGAGGAGGGCGGACAGTTGTCGGGGAGAATAATAGGGATGAATGCAACCACAGAGAGCCATTCATCGGGAAGCTGTTTGGGGACACATCAAAAACTTAACTCGGCACTAATCCAGCATTAAGCTCCTTGTCCGTCTCCCTGCGGATGCAGTCGGTGGGAGATGTACTCCCCATTGTGAAATGAATAAGAGGTTACCAGATCAGTGGCCCATTACATTTAATCTTGTTCTGTGATGGGATCACAATAAAAATACGAAATGATCTGCTCGACTACACTTTCATTCCTTATAGTGGCAGAGTTTCTTCAACTGCAGAAAAGCCTTACCTCAAAATCAATAACAGCAGGATTATATTTTAATGACCTTCCCCAGTGACGATACATATTGCCATCCCAACTGTTTAAGAGCCCTCCGCTGTAACTGGTATCTCCACCTCTAATCCGGGGAATAATATCTTCCACAACTGCGCTGTTGCTCTCAGTATCTGAAAAGTTGAATTGCACCCATATTATTTAGTTATCGTTTCCACACATACAATAGAAAATACTTAATGGAGGGGAGATCAATGGTGCAAGGGGCTATCAGCGAGCGGCACTGATGCTGCCTCCTGAAATCGATGGGAGCTCAGCGTCTCCCGCTCGCGGGGCGAGCCCTGCCACGTTATCACAAGGCAGCTGGTGATGAGTTGAGCATCACAAACACTCTGAGCTGGTAAGCCCTGAAAAGCCTGCATGCCTCCAGCCTTTGTTTCTAGTTAGCACGTGAGCAGTAGGTCACCCTGTCTATAGCTGGTTAAGTGATTTACATATCTGGGGCTTCATAGCCTCTTTGAGTACTTTTTATAGTCAGTTTTGACTTCTTTTATAGTTGCTGTGTTGGCCTTGTCATCCATGCCCAGTCTGTCGTGGCTATAGGGACTGTAGCCTTCCAGCCACCCCATGCCTCTATTTACACGCATTTCTAATCGGGCTATTGCTACCTTAATTTCTGCTCTTTCAAGAGCAATGACTACTCTTGGAGACTTGGACCTAAAGTTGCTTCGGTCCCATGATTGGGCCTGACCCATGGCTGGGGATGGCACGAGAGCTCCCTTTGTCGTACCCTTCTGTGACCCTGCGTGAATCTCCATGCCCAAGTGACCAAAAGAAGTGATGCAAGATGCCTTAACAGACATCTGCCCTGCTATCATACCGGTTTTCAGAAATCCTTTCTTTGCACAGTCGGAGGATGACACAGACGCTTCCAGATGCAGTTTATTCTCGCTGTCTGTAAGGCCAATTGACCAGCCAACACAGGCACTTATCTCTTCGGCGCTGATGTCTGCAAAACAGAAAGGAAACCAGTAAAATCAGTAACTCAGAATGAGTGGAAGGATGCTTGTTTTCCTACTTGTTTTTTTTCTATCAATGAAGAAAATATTCAGTTATTTGCATGGCCTGTTTTTCAAAGTCAAGAGCTATTCCAGGCAGAGAGCAGCCTTTAGTCTTGCAGTGGAAAAGCCAATATTTTATTGGGGTGTATTTGGCTTATCCCATAATAGGTGAAAAGGGAAATGCCCTTACTGTAAAATTGTTTCTTTAGAAAGTCTTAGAAGAAAGTAAAAATCTTAACACAAGGCTTCAGGTATGTATTTCCTTCTTTGGTCTATTTATTTTTAAAAAATACTTTTTTTTTTTTTTTTTTTTTACAGACTAACTCATGACCAGGGTAAAGCTGGGAAGAGCAGCTGAAATCAACAGATCCCTGCTAATTTCCCTAAACTGAGGATCTGACCTATGTATTACCGGCTTAAGTACCAACTTGTAAAAAGTCTGTCTGCTGAGAGCTGCCGAAGCCGTACTGCCTGCTGCGGGGCTGCTGCCACCAGCACCGCCACATACATCATGAAAATATGTAACAGGGGACCCACGAAGCCACTGCAGAGGGGCGAAGGGAACTAATGAGGTGGTTTCACCAAGGTAAGCAACGCGCATATTTCATACAGCCTGGTTTTCGGTACGCACTTCAGTGTACTGCAAATATAAGGCCGTCTTCTCTAGTAGTTAAAAAATCCATTGATTTCAATAAATGCGGGTATTGTAAGTAATAGGTAACTTTTATATCGCTCTTTTTGTCAGAGGACCTTAAAGTGTTTTACAAAGCAGCCTGGCAATCAATACCCCAGTATTGAAAGGGAGGCACAGAGGTCAGCGGGATTTGTGCGTCGTGGCTTAATGGTCTAAAGATCGAACCACCATCCGAGCCCCAGTCCAGAGCGCTATCTGCTGAACTGCCTCCCCCCGGCACTGGGGAGCAGTTACTTGTCTTCCGTGTGTTTAAAATACTGGTAAAACCCCCAGAGCTCTGTTTTTTTGCTCCCTTCTGCACACCCTGCAGGAGAGGCTTGCTGGAGTTGTGCGGAGTATGGATCTGCTCCTTGGCTTGGTGGGTCCCAACCAGCGGAGGTGCTCAGCATCCCGAAAATGGGAACTGGTGAGAGCTGAAGCATAGTCAAGACTTCAGGGGGAATTACATCCCGTTGCAAAACTGGGCCCTTGAGAAAGATTAAATGTGTAGCACTCAATTACTTGTACTAAACTGTTCAACAGTTGTAAACACAGTGGGTAAAGTTCATTCACCCAAAGCAACATGAGTGATTGCTTATCTTGGTGTTGGAGTGCCATAAAATTAAACTTGAGGAACACCCTGATTAATTGATTCACCATGGTTCCCGTTGAGTAATTACGTTCAGCGAGGGTCTGTCAATACAATTCGCTATTGGTTGCAGCAAGATCGGGTCTTGATAAATGAAAAGTGGTTATCATTGCAAAAGGGTGGTCATAGAAAATATTGGCACTTGAGGGGGGAGCCCTGATAGGTTTTTTTATATGATATAATTTGCGATAGTTAAATGTGCTCGAGTGATAAGATTTACTGCTGCATTTTGAATTAATCAGAATATATGAAGACTCTTTCTAATTTACTCTGCGCATAATGTTTCTCCCATAAATGTTCTTGTAATGTGTGAACACATTATACTGTTTTCTGCTAAATAATAGAACCATAACAATCTATTTTAAAAACAAGTAATGAAAAATATTGATGGCAAAGCAACAAGGGACCTCGTTCTGACACGTGTATTTATTTCACTCATGACCACATCCATACAAGCCCTTGCAGCCTGAAAGCTAGAAACGGGTCTGCCAGCAAAACTGCAGTCCTTAAGCTCTGCACCGCTGAGTTGTGGTCCATTCCTGGGTATCTAAACCCAGAAGGGAAGGAACTTCATTTTCAAAACTCAGCTTTCCGAGATGCTTAAAGTTGAGTTCATGCCTATGCCTAGCTGGATTCTCAGCCACTACTCAAGCTCTCTCTCATTTAAGGAGGATTCAGCCTAGGGATCTTTTTCCTGGGCATGTGCTTTAGTTACTGGTCTATAAACAAAGAAGTGTTTTCCCTTCCAGAGCATCTAACACGAAGCCTCATGGGCTAGGTGGGCTCTCAGGATGCAGTGGTTTATCTGAAGCAGATGCCATGCCGCTCAGCCCTGTGGCGACTCAGCGGTACATCTTCCAGCATCTGCAAAGCTTCAAACTCATCTTTTGAAGCTCTGATTTTAAGACTTGAGCATTTATATCCTGATCCTGACCATTCCTCAGGGGAGGCAGGTAATCTTCTTGCAAACACAGCCTTCAAGCATGGCTGTGATCGCCATTAAAAAACCCATGTTTTTTACTAAATGGTTTTAGACAACGGCGTATCAGCCACTGCAGGTAGGTCCTTCTGGGTATACGTCGTGTGATATAGAGCACTGCTGACTTGGTAAATGTGGACTTTCTTGCAGAGTCTTGGTTAGATGAAAATTACAGTAGCGTGCTACATTAGAATGAAAATTGCATCTCTACTGGGGCACATTTTTGTCTCTTGCTGAACTTCAACATCCTTCTTTCCTAAGATAAGGCATCTCGTAGCAGTAAATCTCCTCCTCGTATACACAGCAAGCACAAGACAAAGCAAAATAGGAACCTCCCTCCACACTCTCTCTATTCGTTCTTCCTCTGAAACTGGCAGCGTGCTTCCTGAAGACTTGCTTGCCAAGATCTTGTTCACTTCCGTATCAGTCACTCTTCAAAGTGAATAAATGATTTGAAGAGGCATCATGTTTCCAAATATTAGTATTTCAGGAACTTGATGAAAATTCTCTCTATTGGTAATTTCTTGTGGAAAAATTGGCATTAACACTCAATATGGAGTGCGTGATGGTACCAAAGCATTTCAGACCGGAGGCAGAATTTGGGATAGAACCATGGAAATTAACGGAATGAATGGAATTACAGCAATTTGCACCAGCTGCAGCAATTTGCACCCGTTGTCCAAGATCACAATTTTCTTTTGCATAAATGTCCAGCCTGGAGTTACCAAGACAGCGCTACCCTCAGCAGAGCAGAGTGATGATCCTTAGGGGAAGTGGGATCTATTGCATTGTCGACACCTTTCCAAAGGTTGACAATCCAGTTAGTGTCCTAAAGTACCCTATTATTGTTCTGCATCTTATGTTTTTGATTAGGAAAAATGTTATGCTTTGGCTCGCCAATAATGGCTATTCTTGCGCTCCAGACATTTGCGGTGGATATTTTACGTAACTGAGATTTAGAGGTATGGCTCTCCAGCCTCATACACTCTAATTTGTTGAGAACTGGAGCTAACAGAGGTCTGTTAGTCTTCAGATATGACACTAACCAGAGTAAAGTGGCAGAGGTATTGCCAAGTGCAATGCATTATTTCCATTTACAGAAAATTGAAACCCTCACTATTAGGAGGATAAAACGTGAGCAGATCATCTCTCTTTACTCTGGATGAGTTTCCAGTCCTTGAGCATTCATAAGAATGGCCAGAACAAAGACTATAACAAATACGAGAAGTTTAGAGAAGTCTAGGAAGTGGCACTGAAAGAAAGGGAGAAAAAGATGCTTGGGTTCCTTTCTAAGCTACCAAAATTTCACTCAGGTTCTTCTGAAATTAGGTTGGGAAGCAAATTTTATGATGCTCAAGTTTATCCCCTTCTGTGTGGCCAGTAGTGCATCCATCTTGTGAACAACATGCAGATACCCCTACTCCACCCCGCACTGTGCATTTTGGGGCTTGTGACAAGTATGTGTCTATCGTGATAAGACATGTCAGCCAGCTCAGCAAAGAGGGGCCGATGACCGTCAGCCCTCCCAGGGCTGTGGGGAACAGCCAGAGCCAGATGAATTACTCTGGGGGACTGGACCCACCTCATGGTCTCCAGGTTGGAAATGCCCTGTTTAAAGTAGAAAGTTGTGAACAGAAAATTTCTAGTGGTTTTCTAACCTTTTCTTCTCATTTCCTCTTTGTTAATGACAAGGATGTACTCAAAGATGCCTCCCATAGTGCCGGATGTCATGAAGTGGGTGCCGTAGTCATTGATGAATTTGGCATACATGCCATAGTTGTAGGTGTCTGGAAGCTCCCGCAAGGAGAGCAGCACATCTTCATCCAAAACGATGTTGTCCCTTCTCATCTTGAAACGGGCCGTCTGCACCTTCGTCACAGCTCTAATGAATCCAACATCCTGCAGGTGAAGAAAACAGGAGCTGTCCCTCAACATTAATTAAAAAAAAAAAAAAAAAAAAGTAATTTCTAGTCTTTAGGTTGGCAGAGGAAAGCCTGAATCTTTGACTGTCAGTAGATATTTAAGGCATGAAAACCAGCCCAGGTTTAAATGAAATCAGTTGTAATTCTTTTTGAGAGAGTGTCTCTTGGGTGCTGTGTGAGATGGAGGGCAGAGCCATGGGTTTACATGCTGTGTTTTTTTTTTTTACCGATGTGTGAATCCGATAAGAATTGGGCTCCACATGATTCCCCTCCATCCTCCATTTCTGCTATTTCTTTTTTTCTGGTTTCCTTTCTGTACTGTTTATTCCCTTTTGCTTTTTTCACAGCCTTGACCCGTGATGCAGGACAAGGGCTCATGGCAAGCCCAGCCCAGCGCAGCGGTGGGGGGATACCCCTGCCTGGAAGGTGCTGATGGGGAGAGGATTTCCTGGATATACCACCAGATCCATGACTCCTCTTCTGGATTAGCCATTGCCTTGGACAAGACTCTAGTGCAACTAGAACAGCCTTTTAAATGATTCCTTCAACAACTGATCATCGTTTAGCTGCAAACATCATGTGAGTCTAGACAAGGGCACAGTAAATACTATAATGGTGCCAATTTCCAACACCTTTTAAGGGCATTTCTACTCGGAACACCATCAAAGTAATTCTTCTTTATTGTTTTCTGTCAGCAGCCACGAGAGACGCAGAGACAGGGCACGGTAAATGTGGGAAATACCAGCACTCATGTTATTAGGTTGGAAAGAGGTCATCACAGCTAGTCCATGATGTAAAGTCACTGTGAGAAATACACCCTATTATCGGGTCCTCTTTTTTCAGCGGGGTATTTTAACCTTTCATAAAAAAAAAGTAGCATATTTCCCCATCATAAGGCAGCTTGTATTAATTTGAACGAGATATATCTGCTACCGGAGATCATTCCCGGAGGACAACTGTTTTGATCAACATCTTGATATTTCCTCCTCCCTCATCATCCCTGTAAGCATTTTTTTCATTTATGTGCTTAATGTAGCCATGAAACAGGATGGGGTGAGATGACATGTGTTGTGGTACTTCGTAATTCAATTTTATTCCCACTCCCTGTTTGCTAAAACATAATAAGAACAACAAACAGGATTACTAACGATCATACATTTGCAATTACATGAACAAATTAAGGTACAATTACTATGTGTTAAAAGATGCCATTGAGAGAATAAACTGACATAAGTTATAGCCAGACCATGCGGTGCACAGATGACATGACTGGAGCATATGCATCATTGATTTATTATTTTTTTTTTACCTTTGCAGTGTATTGAGTGAAATTCTTCAGGGATCCTTTGCCGGCTGATAAAGTGAAGCCCAAGTCTAACTGGAAAGGTGATTTTTCAGGCCCAATTCCAATGGTAAAGCCTTTTGTTCTGGATTTATCACTTTTAAGGGCATCAAGCAGATCCTTTGAATCATCGTAAAACTCAAAAGCGAATCCAGAATCAGCATGAGCCTAAAGTGAAAGTGGCAGACATTAATTTTTCAGGTATTTCCCTTTCTTTTTAATCTCTATTTCTTCAAGCAGCTAGTGGTGCCTCTGTTGAAGCCCGTGATACTCATGACAGCACCAACACTGACTTTCAGTGAATGTGGAATAAAGAACTTAGTCACGTGCCATTTCTTTTGGAAGTATGTGAGAAATGCAGCTAAAGCCATACATTTTGCTTCATCCATCTCCAGGCAGGCGAAAGGTTTGTATTTAGCCACTCAAAGCAGCGCCATTACAGGCAGAGCGTGTAATAGTGCCTATTAAGCTACCTTGACACTTCCCATTATAAAATCCTCCTTCCAGTTCCTTACAGCTCTGCCAAATCCTAATGATTTGGAGTGATTTTTTTTTCCCTCTCCAGCCTGCTTCCGGATGAATTTATTTAGGAACAAAAATTCAACAACGGTGATCCAGCTACTTGCGACGGCAACGCTAGAAAACAAACATTGTTTTGCCCGTGCTTGAGAGAAGTGACCTTTTCACTGACAGCTCTGCTTTGCCGGCATGTGGAATCGAGCAGCCTTGCTGAGTCTGGGATGTGCCATTTGCCATCTCTATAAAAAGCTGGCTAAGTTACCAACAGTGAAAAAAAACCCGTCTCACATAGTCTTCAGCAACTTCCTAGACCTCGGCGGCCAGAAGCTCCTAAGTCAAGATGCGTATGGGGCATGCTCAAGCGTCCCTCAGTGCCTAACCGTGGTGCAGATGTCCTTCCACTGCTAGCAGCAGGTAAAGGGGAGAAGAAAATGTGGCCCATGTGGTGGGTCTGTCTGGGTTCAAATTGGGGAACTAAGGGGCACAGGAGGGTCTGCTTGCTGGGAGGACGTGAAAGCCACTTGCGTTGAGCTGGTGGCTGTAATATTCCCCGGGAATAATGTGTGTTTCAGTCATTCATTGCAAAAAGTGTCGTAAATGCTTAACAGTGTGGCTGGGGCACCCACTTACGACGTGGGAGGCCCAGGTTGAATCTCCGCTCTACTTCATTCAGTCTTCAACATGAGGTGTGACCCCCGCAGAGTATAGGTGTTATGATACATGGTGATGGCTTTCAGGATCTTTGTGTCACTCAGAATTTGGATTTACGTTCCTTGTCGCCAAGCCCTAGACTTCGAATGCTTTCAAAGACTGAACCTGTAGCATTGTTCCCATGCCAACTTCATCCCTAGGGAGGCAAGTTGCTTGCGCAAGCTCTACAGCTCATTAATAGCAGAATTTAGAGAAAACCCATTTCTCTTGGCTCTGACTAGGCCAGAGTAAGCAGATGCCTGGGTGATAAAGCATGTTAGTTCCTTGATGTGCCATAAAACAGCATTTATAGCATTGATCTCTTGTTGTTTTGGGGACAGTTGGAGAAAGGTACCTTGAAAGATAACTTATCGTGAATGATAAAATGTACATAATATATTTATAGGAAGTTTGGCTTTTGGGAACACATTGCTAATTTTGACCACCCGAAGCACTTACTAGGAATTGGTATATGTGAAAGTTGTAAGGTTTGCGGAAATACTTCTCGTCGTCTCCGTAGTACAGATGTTCACACACAGCGTCGTACTTCAGCTCCCGCCACTCTCCATTGTAGACATACTCACAGTGGCCTCCAAAAAAATTAGGATCATATACGTACTGGCTCTCTTCCTGTGTTAAGATATTGTATCTTGGAAAGAAACAGCATTCAGAAAGTTATCCATAGCTCCCATTTTATTTCCCCAACAGTCTCCATCACCGTTTCTGTTCTCCTGACACTATACATTATCTATCTGTCTCTGACTTTGAATTTGGATGGCACCTAAAATAAAAAGGTTTGAGTCTGTTCTCAATGCTCTCGCCTTTCGAAAGCTAACAGGAGACAAACAGCCATTTTATTTCCAAGACATCGGTTTGGACTCATGTGCTAGATGTGGAAGAAATCAGTTAAATTGTCCAGTTATGAATTGTTACAGTTATGAAAGTCCCGAACTCCTGGAGTTCCTCCAGGTCCCCCGTGAGTCTCTCACAGCCTAATGCATCTCACTGTCACAAAGTGTTTTCCGGCATTCCCTGTAATTGTTTTCTATCCTTATTTCATCTCCTTCCTTTTAATAATGGTCCCATTTCTCAGGGGAGTTAGCACCCTCCCTAGACTTGCAGTCTGCATGTGCTTTGCCAAGTCTCTCGCTTATTATTTCCTTACGCCTTTCTTGCTGCTCTCCAGCCATCACAGCTGCTGCCCTCTGAAATCCCGCCTGTTACTTAATATTCCCTGTACTTCCACGGCCCCAAATGAAAGCATTATTCAGACTCGGCAGCAGCATTGCTCCTCACAACGGGGAATCGTCTTTAAGACTAAGATAGTAAATACTATTGCTTTTGTATGTTCTGTGGGAGAAACACATCAGAGAGCAGTAATAAATGGAGTGCTCAGTGAAAATTAATATATGTCTTGAAAAACTTTTGATGGACTCTCCCAGGCCCTGGGCCAGAGAAGCATTTATCTCATGGACGGCAGAGAGCGTTGGATCCAGCTGATGGGAAAGTTATCTGCTGGGTGACTGCATTCTCATACTGTAGCCCAAGTTCTCCGAGTGAAACTAAGTGATATCTTGGTTAAAACACAAGATTAAAAACAAGAATGTCACAATAGCCAATTTGCCTTTCAAGTTGCTCTGGATTCCTCTTTTGCATGTATTGCCTAACCAGAATTTGCAACTGAACAGAGTAACAGCTTTTCATGGATAGGAGTATTTACCCTGCACGTATTCATGTGGAGCTCAGGCTCTCTGCCTTGAATCTGTGCTCTGAAGTCCTAAATCCTGGAGTTAAATCTTCCCCTTAGGGATGAACACCACCAGGATGCTGCATCTCCAGAGTCTACTCTTTGCTTTAATATATTGCTTTTATCAACCATAGGAAGCTGTAAGATAACTGGGGTATACTTTTTACGTGAGTATAAAGGGGACATCAAAAGTATAGAGCAGCTGAGAGAGGCCAAGGTAAGTAAATTCAAGACAGAATTTGAAATAAACGCTGGGATGAACCCTCCTGCCTCCCTCCTTGCTACCCAAGGTTGGGTGGGACAGTAGCTCTCCTTTGGGTTTGCTACAGCTCCCTATCAGTTCATGGAGCACTGCTGTTACTAAGGAAGAGCAATATGAAAACCTGGATCCAGTTTTGTGAGAGTAGCAGCTATTGATTAATTACTTACCCTTGGGCTGCTCTTTCAGACCCTGGAATTGGGAACAGATGTTCACAAGGGCTTTCGATATCTTCATCCTCACAGTTATCCTCATCAGAGCCATCTCTGCAGTCTGGCTCTCCGTTGCACACAAGATGCCGTTTAATACAGCGACCTAAAGTGCACAGGTACAGACGTTCCCTTATCCGCCTTTCAGAAAACCTTTTTGGCAACTTGCACTGGTTGTGCTGGTTCCCACCCATACCTCAGGGCCACAAGAAGTCACACTGAGTGTTAAACACCGTGTTGGGAGCTTGCTTTTCCCAGCTCCTTGCGGGGGAGGTTTTCCTTTGCAGCCTGGACCGAGCATGGCTCGGAGTCCAAGCCAGCTCCCATGGGATGGGAATCAAGTAGACGTCACCTCACTGGCCTGATTTTATTATCTACAATCACACTTTTGGAAGGGAGCTACAGGAACCAATAGATCCTCCACTTGGCTTAGGGAAGTCAACTCGGTCTGGTTAAAGTGCACTTTTTGCCTCCTCCCTTTGCAGGAGGTATTTGGGGAGTTTATTGCAATAATTACAGCTTAAGAATGGATATTTGCAGGAAGGGCAACCTGAAAGTGCTTTTGCTTCTGGGAGTAAGGAGAAAGCCTTGACGTGGCGTTCGTGGCACGAGGGAACTGGTACTGCTGCACTTGCCTCAATGGAACAATAATGACCTGCTCCAGTTGATGAGCTGGTCACGGAGCTGGTGCGCATTTCTAAATTTCAATAGAATTTTCATTAAATGCTCAAGATGGGACTTTGAGCCATTTGTGTAAAACCAAAAATCTGTCAAGGCTAGTCAAACTTTCAGAGAACAGCCACAGCATATCCCAATACTCAGAGCTGAGGATGGCTAAAAATAAATAAATCACCCCAACAGATTGCTAGTTGGATTCATGATTCAACTACGTCTTCTGCAGGGGGAGAAAGTGGTGTGCTGTGGGAGCGTTGGTGCCCGTGGAGGGGAGTGTGAGCATGTAGCACAGCAGTTGGAGCAGAATATTTCTATTCTCTTTGTTCCACTGAAAAATTAACCTTTTCCATGTCACACAGCCTTCTTTTCTATCCAAATCTAAGCATAGATGGATTTCTGCAAAAGTGGGGGAAAAAACAAAGAAGTGGAAGTTTCCTGCTTTCTCTTGCATCACTCACCCGTTTCCTCGCACCGAAAGTCCTTCCCGCAGCCGGGGGGTCCAGTGCAGGTCGTCTCGGCACGGCAAGCTTGCTCGCCCCAGAAGTGCCCCGCGCATCGCCGCCCCGAGAACCCCGCTGGCTGCACCAGCCTCCGGTACCGGTGCTGAACCACACAAGAGAGAAAAACACCACCAATACCTAACTTTTATCCCCCAGAGACATCACCTCCACAGGCTATAAAGCAATTAGAACTATCGCTTTTCGCTCTAGTGCTATTTTTTTTTTGTGTAGTCCACAGACACTGCACGTGATAAATGGAGAAGAAGGGTCAGCAGAGCGGTGGGAGCTCAGGAGATTGGCTTGAAGTTCATACAGGTGAATTTGGGGGGGCTGGAATGACTGTTTTTAAAAATCTCTTCCCTCTTTTATACCTTGGAAATAATATGGCATTTCTCCAGTTACATATGCTTTGTCCTGGAACATAACAGGCTCAGATGGACACAGACACTAATTACAACACTGATCCTGCAACATTTCTGATGGATTATTAATGAGAATCGCTGCTCTTTAAACTAGGGGAGAAGGGGGGAAGGAAAGAGAGAAGAGCCAAATAATTTGCTGGTTATAAGCACAGGAACAAAAAAAATGCAGGGATATAAACTCAGTAGAAAGCAAAATTATGTCAGGTATTTGAAAACAAATTCTTGAATTATGAAGACATATGTGAAATGGTATAAAAAACTGAGAGCAGGAGCTGATGAATGAAGGCTGCTTTTAATTTCTTTTCATCAGAATATTTGCATTAAGAATCAGGGGATACTTAATTAAATCTGAGATAGAAAAGGAAGAAGGTCTTGGGCAAATATTCTGGCCTGATTCTTCCACCACTCGCCTTGATTTTGCATTTTGCTCTTCTGCTGCCTTGAACAAATTTATTCCCCGGTTTACACCAGGGTCAGTAAGAGCCCTTGTAGAAGAGGAGCATCTCCATCATATTTGGATGAGTTTACTGGATGCTTCAGAATGATGAATATGTATAATATATATAATTAATGTGTGTACATCCTCATCACAGACACATCTGAAGATAAATGAATACATTACGGTAGAGTCTTACTTTTTTCTCTTGGCAAGGAAAGCAATCAGTCCATTCTGACCACTGGCTCAGCTGACAGTCGACAGGAGCCGGAGAATTAACATCTCTGCCGCTTCTTCTAAGGAGGGGAAGAGATAGCGGTCTAAGGTCTTTGAAGTTGCATTTGAAGGAGGGCTGGAGGCTAGCAAGGAGAAAATGATCTCCGTGTGTGTGTGTTTTTCCACTGGGAACCTATGTTGTAGGAAATGGGAAGCATCCCTTAGCAGGGGAGGCTGTACTGCCTGAGATGCCCTGTCCAACTATTCACCATCAGAATTGGTCAGGGGTAGCAGGTGTAGGACCTGAGGATTTTGTCTTGGGTTTCCCACTCTCCCAAGAGATCCTAGCCCACTCCAATAGATAGATCGCAATAAAATATGTGTACATCATATATATAAGACCAGACACACTGAGTAAACAGAATGAATATCAAGAAGATGCAGGTTTTATGGAAAGGCTTTTTTTTTTGTTTGTTTTCTTCTCAGAAGACATCACAAACTCCAGGAGTAGTGACGTTTATCACCCTGGGCCTGTTCGGAAATCTACTGGTTTCGCTTTTCTTATATCATAGTTAACTAACGATGTGTATTTTTCCCGACAAGGATGAAATCAGGGTGTGATTCGCATGGGCTTTGCGGAGTGGTGGGAATGGCTGCACCAACGCTGCTGATAAGGCAAGGTACGAGGCCATGTTGACTATGAGAATTTCTCGGTTGACTATTTCTAAAAGGAAATATGTACGTTCTGAGGAGAGGAAAATAACTAAAGGAAGAGTGTAAAAGCAGAAAATGGCAAGGGTCCTGTATCGCAATGGCCCTTGCATCAGACTCTCTGCACATACACTGAATATATAACAGCAAGAAAAGACTTCTCTTGCTTCCCAGCCCAGTCGTTATGATCTTTATTTCTGTCCCTACTCCGACATTCTTTATTTGTATCGTGTGTTTCTTTGTCTTGAGGAGCAATCTGTGGCGTGTCAGTACAACTCTGTGTTTGCCACAGCCTTTGAAGCATTCTGAGGGGTTATTCTGAGCCAAAAAAATATTATTATTTTGGTGATTAACTAATGAGCAGTCTGTTTTACTTATGAGACTGCACTCCAAAGAGAAATATTGATAATTAGCAGAGGTACGGAGCACACTGGGGATTCATCACAGGCTGCAGAAGAGGGATTTACTCAATGAAAGCCACACCAGCTTAGCAAGGGAGCCCGTGGATGCAGATCAGTGCGTGAGATAAAACCCCACCGTCTCTCTAGGAAAACAACAGGAGCCTGCAGACAAACACGGCGCTGGAGGACACGCAGGTATTGATGCCTTTTCGCTCTGACAGGAGGATTTGTGGGCTGTATCCTTCAGCACTTCACAAAGTACTTAATTGGCTCACCTTCGATTGGATTTTACATTTACCTCTTCATTATTCTGCCGTGTTTGATAAGTTCATCAAACATCAAAAATCTCGTCTTTGTTCATTTTCAGCAGGGATTATCGGAATAAGCCTTCATAATTAAGTGTATCACTACCACATTTTTTTTCCCTTTCTGCCTTCCCCTTGTCTCCACGTTCCAATTATCACTGATACCTTTTTTGATTCTTCTAAATCATATTTGCCTTTAGAACAAGCCTGGAATTAATAGAAGAAGAATAGTAGGAAAAAAAATCCAACCATTTTCCTATCATGACACTGTAGATTTAGAAAAAGGTAACTTGTTTATTCCCTTCCTTCAAAGCCTAAATGACACTCGTATAGGTTAATAATATTGTTCAGGGATAAAAACCAGAGGTATGAGGATCTGGCTTGGATTGAAAATTGGTTATAAACATGCACTTGTTAACTTCACATTGTCAAATGCAAAATAGTTATAAGGAAAAAGAATAGGAAAAATATTCGCTTGTAAATTGTGCTGCATAGTGTATAATCCAAGTGCCCAAAACCAGTATGGTAATTTTGGTAAGGAAGTTTAAGAAGGCTTAATAGTAATCTCTAAAAAGAAAAGCCATTATGCAAACAGTTCGTATAAGCAGGAATTACGATGCCTAGCTTGGGCTTTGGACCACTGCCAATATATTTTTTTTTTCTTTTTTTTTTTTGGTGGTAGCTGTTTACAGAGAGCACAGTGTGCACATGCCGCAAGTCAGGACAAAATTGATGGGCTGACTGACTTGCCCCTAATTTCTATACGTAAAGTGGAGGGAGGGGGAGCAGACGTACCTCTGGGAAGGCAATGCCTCGAGCTCCTCGCGTGCCGTAGCCGTGGCCTGACGTACCGTTAAAGCCAATGAGCACATAGAGAGAATCAGAGGAGAAAGCTGACACAGGCCCCACCGCATTGTTTTTCCACATGTAAACGTTTGCTATAGATTAGCTGCAAATGAAAGCTTTAGACTTCGGAGCGCTTTGGGGAAAGCGCTGCTCAAAGAAACGCGGAGCCCACCGGACTCCAAAATGCTGCGGTAAATTATTGACGACGGCACAGATCAAATCACAAAGAATCAGGACGCATCCCGGAGGCCTTTGCCCTTTTGGAAACAAATTCCCGGTTTTCTGGCAAGGGAATATATTGAACTGTGCAACTGTTTCCACATTAAAGTCAATCAAGCCCTATTGCAGCAGCGTGTTTCTTGTCCAGCCTGCTCCCTCCTTTTAATTTGAAAGAGGAGGAAACTTGTTTTATTTCCCGTAGTGACTTAACTGCAATTTTGGTGTGTCTGGTTGCTGACCAGGGCAAAGCTTCCCAGTACAGCAAATTGAAGATTATTACAAAATTCTGTTATGAGGAACATGTGCCTTCCAGATACGTCAAGGAAGTGTCAGTTCAGTTTCTTCCTGTTGCCGTCCCCATAAGATGGTGTCCCATCTCCGAAGCTGAGGTGAGTTATCACCTGGGTTTTGATGGCCTTACACAGTCGCTGCAACACCAGAATCTGAATTTTTGTTTCCTAAAGTGATTTGGGGTGAGAAAGATATCCCCTAAATCTGAAATTGTGTTCTGTCCCATAAGCTGTGCAAAGTCATCCGTCGGTGGTGGCTCTAATGCTTTTCACTGGTTGGGATCTTAGCACAGAAGTAGTGGATGTGCACAAGTATAAGAGAGCAATGCCATCCAAAGCAAGAACACCATGGGTTATTTATTATTAAGATAATAGTCACAAGATGAAAATATTTAGTTTTCATATGTTGGAAAAAGGAAAAAATGGCTATTGGAAAGACACTTGGTCATGCTATAGCACAAATTGGCCCAGACCTGTTTCCTCGAGCTTGCAGATAGCCTGCAAAATTCCCCTGAGGGCTCCTCGGCAGGCACAAAAATGCACAAGGAATCTATAACTTCCTTAGATATTAGTTAAAAAAAACCAAACAACTGAGAGATCTATGGAGACTTTTGTGTTCGACCAAGGGTCTGTATCTCCCTGCTTTTTCTTCTGCATAAGTGGGCTGAGATGCTTCGTGCATAAATGAAGTGTTCCCAGCAGAAAACTGGAAGCTTGAACCTCAATAAATTCAAGAGAAATTGTAATTATTGTAGGAAAAATCTGGTCTTGGGCTATTACCGCTATTAAGCAGACAGTGAATTGTCATCTGTCCACAAAAGACTGGGATAGAAGTGTCACTTTGTGTATTTCCCAAATTAATTGCAAAGCTGATTTCCATAGCGGGTATTGTAAATTATCAAAATAAAAGGACCTCTTACTGCGTTATTTTAATGTAATTAAAGTTCAGAATGACCCTGGGGCTTGTCTTTGCTAAACACGAAGTAATGTAGCACACGGGTAGACTCTGTAGTGAAGCGAAATGAAATGAAAACTGCCTTTTTGTGACCTTCGAGAGTATGTTAATGTAGTCCCTTACCTACTAATGCACTTCAGATGGGTTCAGAAAGTCCTTCTCCCTTCTTCGCCTACACGAGAAGAACTCAAATAAGGGGTTTAATATTTATATTTTTTTTATGCCGTTAAACCTAAATTGCTTTTGCCTGGGAGAAAAGCAGGGGATTGAACCTGGCCTGAGGCGATCCCCACCGTCACCTCCCAGTTACACGTTACAGCCTCCCTGCGTGTTGCTGTTAAGACAGACTGACATAAAAATGTTGTGGTGATGCTTATAGAGGTCTGGTGGGGACGGACCCCGCTGTCCCCGTGGTGGGAGCCTCCCTGGCCGTCTGCCAAATCTGTCTTCTCCCAAATCTTCCAAACTCCTGCCATCCTTTGATATAAATGGCTGCTTCGCACAGCCAAGTGCCTCCTCAGCATCTAAGCAAGACTGCCGAAGCATTATATCTTTTCTTTTCTGATAGCAGCATCAGAAACACACCATATATAAAATGAAAGTTATTTGTGGCACGTCTCCCAGGTAAAAGGCTGGGCTGGTTTGTGCAATCAGGCACAACAACAATTTCGCACTGATAGGTGAGGTCGTTTGGGGGGGGAGGCGTGCGAGAGAGATTTAAGCGGCAAGCAAGGCACACCACGTTAGAGGTGAAATTAAAGAACCTTTCTCAAAGGTGCTGTGTTCCCAAAGTGATATATATAAAAGTTATGGTTCCATTTATAACGTTATGAATTGAGCTTGTCTAAAATGTGTGTTGGACCCTTGTCTCTAAATCTGAATTAACTCTCTGAACCTCTGGCTCGCAATGCTCACCGTGCTGTCCGGAGCGATGCAGTCACCTTCAGGAGGATGAGCTCTGAACTGAGGTCTCGGGGCTCTTCAGGAGCGTGGAAATAGGTGCTGGGATGAGCAACCGGCTCGCTGCCACCAAACCTGAGTGGGAGTTTGCATCATCACTCTGGGACTATTCCCATCTCAAAGCTCTTTTCCCTGACACCGAAGAACTCTTCACTGCCAGCCTCTGATTAGAAGGCACGTAACTCCTCATTTACAACTTCTATGTGTCTAAAATCAGGAGCACATTAACTCAGTGTAAACAAACTTGGTCACCCGCTTTTCCTCACTGATAGCAACACAGGGGTTTTTTCCACTTCAAAAAGTCTCCACTTCAATCCTCCAGTCTCTCTGCCCCAACAACGGGAATTAATTTCTGCCTGCAGTATGCATTGATCTTTTAAATAACACCTGAACAGCACATTCGGTAACGTGGTTGTCTACAGGAACCCTGCTCCAAGGTGAAGTTATATTACAAGAGGTAACATAATGTTGCTGTTGTCCAGCAATTTGTATTTGTACTTGCTTTATAAGTAGATTTTTATTTTTAGTATATCCATATGGTTTTCGCAGCAGGGGATAGAGTTACTTAAAAGAATCATCCTTTTTTTTAATGCCAATATTCTATTTATAATTTTTTGTAGGATATTATTCATGCAATACTAGAAACCTGAATTTTGTTCCTGACTTGAAGGCCGTGAACATCTGTTGACAGAGTCCTGTTCTTCTTTTGTTCTGTTCGATACACCACACCCCCAAAGCAGTACCCAAGCTTCTTGGTGCCAATGTGACTGTCACCTGCCACGTGAGGTTTCTTCTCTCGTGGTTCCCCAGGGAAAAGCGCAGAGCGGACAGCCTTTCATTCAGCGGTAGGGTGTGTTGTTTCGTTTTTTTTTTAAATACAGATTTTTGCAATGTACAGAGGTTATAGAGATGTTAGATATGGCAAGATGAAGAAGTTGTGCCTAGCAATTGGAGCTCTGCCCTTGGAAAGTTCGCTGTTTCACACATGCTTTCGCAGCACACATGGGCTCTCTCAGCTCATCCTCTCTGCAGGCGCTGGAGAGCTTTTTCTGCATGGGAGCTTGGTAAATAACTTCTGGTTTGCCAAGGAAGCAAAGCTGGTTACCAAGGTCTTCATCTCTGGACTTCAAAATCAAAATCCCAGCACAGATACCTCCAAGAGAAGGGGTCAGATTTGGAAGGTGGCTTTATGTTGTATAGCAAACAGAAGACAGGAGTAAAAGTGTCAAAAAGGGTCGGACAGACGTAATGAGTTTGCTATAGCTTGCGCTGCTGAGCAGATGCTCGGCGCTAGATGATGTTTCTGCAGTCTTGAAGGCCTCATGCCCGTGCGCGCTGCGTTACTGCAGGGCAGGGAAAGGGTGCTGCAAGCTGTACCTGACCCTGGTCATCATTCTCTGTGCCAGTGGGGTGACAGCAAACACCGCCTGCAGGTGCTGGCGGGAGTGGGCACTGTCACAGTGATGGTCCCACGACGCAGGTAGCGGCCGTGTCCTGATAACGGGGCTGAGCAGTTGCTGCAAACAGCAACACACCTTTCCTCTCTGCTCCAGCTGTGCATCTCATTTACTGACGTTCAGCTGTTCTTCATTCCCAGTTTAAATTCTTCGGCCACGGGGTGCTCGTGGTGAGACGGTGCATTGTAAGGACCAACAGAGCTCGCTGTCCTTTATGTGCATTGGGCACGTGTCCCAGTTACTGAACCAGTGGCTGTGTAGAGGTGTGGAAAAGGTCCACCTAAGGACCAGAAGATGACCACAGGACATGGCAGTGCTCATTTAGTGTCAGTGAACAGTGAACTGGTCTGATAATGCGTCTTCTACCAGAGTAAACTCTTAGCTTTAATCACAGGAGCCTTATATGGGCTTTATTGCTAAAAAAGAAGTATGCACTTAAGTGTTTGTGGGATCAGGGCCGTACTGCAGAGACAACCTTCTAGCTTGGACAGATAAAAAACCCGAACCATTGCAAGGCTTTTACATTCATTTTCTTGGCTGCCACAGTGCTTCAGTGGGGCTGATCTGAAAACTTCTGCAGGAGCCACACGGGTACCGACATTGGCTCCTCCTAGACAAGCTTTGTCCTGGTCAGTAAATGAAAGTGAAAAAATGAAAGTAGATTTTTGAACGCAAGGATCAATAATACTGCATTTTCTTAAATTTCGTGTTAATGCCGACAATACAAGCCAGCACAAGCGGCTCGGTGGTGGGACAAGTGATCCTATCTCCCCCTCTGCTGGAAACCTAGGGTATGACCTCCTGGCAGAAAATAGGTGAAATGTGCGGGGAACCGGGCTGGGGTGGCTGCTCTGGCCCCCCTGGGGACAGAATAAGGCCTAAAAACTCAGCTGAAATCCCCCCGTAGCACAAGGTTGTGCCCTGCTATCCACTTTTACCCATTTTTCTGGGTTTTAAGGTGCTTTATCACATATACGAACCCTACTGCGTTGCAGCCAGGAGCAGCCGTTTCCCTCGCTCTGTGCTCCATCTCCTTCCCCCACCGCGTTCCCACATGTGGGGCCTGTTATTTTCCCCTAATAAATCCAGATCTGTATAATATATCTATAATGTATGACAAATCCCATGAGTCACAAAGTAGCTGCAAAGAACAACGCAGGGAAAATAAGTTTGCAGCCCTTGGACCA